CTTATAACATGCTTAGGCCAAAAGATGCGTAGTATAAAAACCATTCACAAAATGTGGATGTTAATGACAGATCAAGGAGAAAAGGAACCGAAGAATCTGCAGTTATGAGCCGATATAAGAAGAGATCATACTTTTGAGGAAGACACTAACTATAAATGGCTACCTGAACGCTTCATAGATAAAAACACGAAACCTAAAATCAACAAAGGAAACCTCATCTCGGTATCGAAGATGTTATACATTGAATATAGCGTTCAAAAGTGCCCTTCTGGTTGACATTCTAAAGAAAGGAGAATATCAAAAGCTATGTGAAAAAATTCTTTGCTTTTAAATTAAGAATGGCGTTCTCCCACCACCAGATGTTCTCTAATAATATAAGAATAAAACTTGTGCACTGTGGTAGAGTATAATTCCATTATGAGTAAAATTTATTTTGATAAAGTCTCACACAGTGTTATACTGTCATAGTAATATTTACTGATGACGTTTCGAGTACAATTTATTGCTCATAATCATATCAAGGTACTCGCACAACTTTCTAAATTCGTTTATATAGTCCCATTATTTTCTATCGCTTGATTTGATTGGTAGTAGTACTGTCCATATTTCCGGTATGAGTGATGAGTTATTCCTATCGCACATGTTGGGGAAACTTATAATGATAACATAAATAAGAGAGAATATAAAGCATCTACTGTTATACCATATAAGGAGGGCACATCTGAGAACCTACGTGGGATTCGCAAAAAAGCAGGAATTAGGGTGGCATTTAAGCCTACAAACTCACTACCCAGGTAGGACAAGCTTTGTAGTCTAAAAGACCCGGTGGGTCCAATTAAACAAAATAGTATAATTTACAAAATACCTTGCAATGACTGCAAGTTAGGTTAACTACATTGGTCAGACTTGTAGATCAGTAGTAGTGAGGTTGTCTGTCAGAACATAAGAATTTAGCTAAGGTTAGAATCAATGATCCCATGAAGATTAGTAATTTAGAGAAAAACTCAGCTATCGCACTGCATGAATTAACACACAACCACACGATAGGGTGGGTGGGACAGAGTCAAAATTCTAAAATGTAATATAGGTAGGTGGAGAGCAAGAGAAATTGATTACTGAATCCTGCCTAGTTCATTGAGTCTACACCCAACACATGCAACAGAAATGACTCATCACTTATACTGGAAATTTGGAAAATACTACTACCAATCAAATCAAGCGATGACAAATAATGGGACTATATAAACGAAATTAGAAAGTTGTGCGAGTACCTTGATATGATTATGAGCAATAAATTGTACTCGAAACGTGATCATCAGTTAATATTCCTGTATAATTGTGTGTGAGACTTTATCAAAATAAATTTTACCCATAGTGGAATTGTTCTCTAATAACTCTAAACATATACTATTGCATTTGGTTACTCCTCTGTATATCTTCCAATTCATTCGCTCATATGGAGTGGGAAGTATAGGTCGTTCGATGCATGTCAACGAACATTATCTCACTTGGTTACAGAAGGGTCACAACGAACCATTTGAACACATAGTTAACACTTGTCACTCAATATGCAATTAGAATTCATTCCAACTTATTTACAAAGGTAAAAGAAGCTTCCTGAAAACTATATGCCTCCGTATACTTTGTATTTCTGAGGTGTAAGTCATTTAGATAGAAAACCCTGACTGATATATTTTTTCCTTCAGGTTTCCTAGTGGAACATAGAGCTCCAAGCTAGAGGCTTGAAGTTTCTGTAGCAGGATGGGGTTGCTAACCTCATGCCCAACCTTTCCTTTTTACCAGTATTATTTCTGGCCTAGCGAGGTAAAGGAGTGCGTCGTTGGCCGGGAATCGAACCCCGGACCATGTGCATGGTTAACGAGCGTCCTAACCGCTACATCACCGACGCGATATACACAGAAGAAAATTCTCTATCTTCATCTTCCATCTTCAGTATAGTCTCAAGTTCAGCTGTTATCAATATTTTGTTATAGGTGTTACCTTTGACATTTTTCTTGAGACATTTATTAGTTGTAAGATATCCTTAAATAAACTTTTGTTCATTCCCTTCACCCATTACTGCATAATTTATTATGATACTTCTCTCCGTGATCGATTGTTAACGTCTAACTTTTTCTGAACCTTTTTCATATTACGTAACCATTAATTTAAACTTACTAATCTTCACCTTCCCCTTTTAGTTACAGTTTGACTATTTATCAGTGTTTTGAAATATTTTGATGATGTCAGCAATACTCCAAACTAATACAGTAATTTTTACGAGTTGATCACGGATTGATATCAGATAGAGAACCATTGAAAACCAGCACTGGAGTACAAGACAGCTGTTTCATCCTAGTTTGGGAATCATCGGAAGTACGCACCCACTGGGATTCGAACCCAGGACCTTCCGGTTACAAGGCAAGCTGGCTCGTATATCATTCAGCCACTGGGACCCGATTCAATGGTCAGTCCATAAATTCTAACTTCTACCAATTCGTGATTTAGCGCTGTCCAGTACTCCCTGGTTTCCAATGGCTCTCTAACTGATATCAATCCGTGATCAACTCATAAAAACATAAATATCCCTTACAAACCAAACTACAGAAAATTAATATAATAATAATATTGATATCTTTATTCCAAACAGTACTGTTGACACAAATATTGAATTTTCATTCAGCATGTAGTACAGTATTGCATCTAATTTGCCCCATTACATAATACAGGGGTAATAATTAAATCGGATATTTACATTGATAATATTGTTAAATAAGATTACTGAATATAAAATCAAAATTATGTGAAAATATTAATAACATTAGAATAATGAAAGAAAGAAAGAATAACGACGACCGTTTACTTAGAGTTTCTCAGTAAGTTAAAAAAATGTCATGCCTTACACTTTTCTAATCTAACTGACCGACTGACTGGTTTCAACATAGAACTCTCCATCGATGTGCAGCAGTTCAAGTCACCACACTCCATGTAGCACACAAAGCAAGAGCAGAAAGTGAAAAGAAATGCAAATTAGAGACAGTAAACAGAGATATGAGGCAAAAAGAATAGTAATAACGAAGAACAATATAGTTTTATTGGGTATTTTAAGTCACAAGGAGCGGATGTATCTGCACCAGCCATTGAGAACGATTTTGAGCCATATCACCAATCGTCTCCGGCCTACATTAGTTTTTACTGTCCTAAGGACCCCAAACAATCAGGAAGTCTACACTTTCCTACGTGGCTGGCTTAAATTAACTGCTGTGGATTTCATTGACTGATAAAGCCATGTTTTGGTTTGACTATCACTGACTCTTCTCCAACCTAACTGATCCTATGTTAGTCAGCTAACATTGTCCATTGTTGAGGAAGGCGGTGACTAGGCATACGTAACACATATCTTAACCATCCCAGTCACTGTGACTTCACAGCCTCGTCTATTGATTTCCCCTCTTTACCTAGCACTCGACCGATGCCCAACCTCAATAATACTCAACTTAGTATACCACTTCTGATGGGAGATAGAACGCAGGGACCTATGATCAAAGACAGCTAGCCAGCCTTTTCATGTCCTCCACTCTCAATGACCAGGTCTCACAGCCATAAAGGAGGACGGAGCGGACTGCTGAGTAGTACACCCGCCCTTTGGTCGATAGCCAGCCGGATATCACGTCTACGCCAGAGACGGCGTAAATTGGCATATACCCAACGAGCCTTCTGTATCCATGCTGAGATTTCATCAGCGATCAACCTGCTGGCGTTGGATGATGCAATTTCCCAAGTAGGTGAAGCGATCAACATGCTCTACCACTTCACTCCCTATTTCTAAGCTAGGAGTCAATGTAGTCCAGTCCTGTAGCATCATCTTACATTTGACAGCAGGAGCGAAGCGCATGTCAAACAATCGCAGATTGCAGTTCAAGGTGTTCAGAAGACTCTGCATTCTGTCAGCGTCTTACTTTTTTGATCACGTAAATCGTGTGGCGAATACGATATTATAGAGGTTTTATACTTAGTCATCCTTGCAGAAAGTCTTCTGTAGTTGCTGTTGGTCCAACTTGATGAGATGTAAGGAGAGAGTTGTGTATAGAGAGAATGCTCACGGTCCAACGTACATACAAAAATAATTATGTATAAGTGAGATTGTACAGGTAAGTAGATGAATTCATTGAAAAGCGTCACTTCTCTGAACTGTTTGTTCTTATTTCCATGTCTGGATGGACATATTTTTCATGATTTCAAAAAATCAACGTCTGACGCTTGTACTGAGGATGATGACATAACACCTGTCTTGAACATATGAAAATTTTGAATGAGTGGAAAACACGGGGGAAGCAGAACTAAATGGAGCCGGTTAGAAATTTATTTGATTATTGTGAAGTAAATAACAGCAAAAAATGCTACTCGAAACATCATTCAGTTACTGTTACTGTATCACTTAGTTCGATATCAAACGAACTTATTGGAAATTATAATGTGCTGCTACTAAGAGTGATTCAACATGCAGTTCTACACCTTCGCATCAGTGGTTCAGAGGTAGAATACCCTCCCAAGCACTCATGTAGTCCGGGGTTCGATCCCCAGCCGCCAGTTAACCAGGTAATATGGAAATATGAATTGGCAGAAGTTAGAATTTATGGGCCATTGGATCGGGTCCCAGTGGCTTAATGGTATACGAGTTCACCTTGTAACCAGAAGCTCCTGGGTTCGAATCCCGGTGGATGCGTACTGATGAAGAGTCCCAAACTAGGACGAAACAGCTGTCCAGTACTCCCAGGTTCTCCACTGGTTCTCTAACTAATGTCAGCTCATGATGAAAATCCTGCAATATGGAAACGTTGGGCGTGAGGCTAAAAACCCAATCACTGAAACTAGAAAGCTGAAGCATGGAACCACTAGGAACGCGAGGAATAAAATAAATCAATAATGGATCTACGCTGTCACATCTGTCGGTCTAAAAATATATATTTAGTTTCCAGTAATATTCATATATTACTTACTTGAATAGCTGTAACTGTCAACTGGTCCAGGCCACCATATAGTTGTTTGTCCAACATCATTATTAGCCCAACACCAAAATAGTATAGGACCAGATTTAACAAGATCCGGTTTCTCCATATCAGAATCAGTACTTGTTGATCTACGTCGACGTTCTAATACCTCCCATGGTCCATAACTGCCTATTTCATTATCGTTTAACATTGAAAAATCTGATAGAACATTTGCTTTGCCAACTTCTTCAACTTTTCGAATGATATATGCAGCCCATTGTGGTTGTGTCCATGCCCAGATTAAATTTTTAGATTTTACTAATGGATAAGCGACAAGAATTTCACAAGCATTTGTCCAATTTGAATTTGAATGTTCCTCGGGAATTGGTGTTGTACACAGACTACTTGTACATGTATATCGACCAGAAGAGTTGGTTGGAGGGATTGGTGGAGGATCATGAACCAAACGTAAAATTGGAGGCACTAAAATTGAAAAAAATTATACATTTAAAATAACAAGAGTAAACTATGTAGAGTAATACTAAGCTCACACACACACACAACTGAAGTTGTTTCCAGTTCATGAAATTATTTGAATAAATCTAGAGAAATCTAATTTTATCTGATTAAAAATGCCCATTGAAAATTTTTTCAAAAGAATGGTTACTGAATAAAGAATACTCTTTTCGATAACTTCATCATCAGGCTCTACAGTTACACATACATTATGTAGTGAATAAATAGATTAGTGTTATGAACAAAGAATGAAGGTGTCATCCATACACCGGTACCTTCATTCTTTGTGATAATGATTCGGATAGGAGTACAATAATAACTGAATTCAATGAAGTACATTCTGCTATGAAATTCACATGCGAAGAGGAATCCCAAAACAGAATCGCCTTCCTAGATGTCCTCCTTACAAGAAAACCAGATGGTAGCATAAAAAGAAATTTGTATAGAAAAAGTACATGGACAGGACAATATACACATTTTCACAGCTTCGTTCCTCTCCAGTACAAAAGAAATTTAGTAAAGACCCTCAGCCACAGAGTTAGAGCTATATGCTCAGAAGAAGTAATTGAAGATGAATTAAGCATTGTATATGATACCTTGATTGAAAATAGCTATCCCGACAAATTTATCAAGAAACACATGACAAAGAAAGCGGAAAAGGACTACTCACTGTCTGTAAACAAGAAGCCACTTTATATACGACTACAGTTCAAGGGCGATATACCAAGTGAAATAATTACGAAGAAATTAAGAAAATCTGTTCAAAGAACTTTTAATGCTGGCAAACTACAAGTCTTATTCTCTACACGACCGATGGTGATTCTTCGATTGAAAGATGAAGTACCTAGACTAGCCACTTCTAATTCTATCTACCAATTCAACTGCGCTTGTGGTGGAGCGAGTTATATCGGCCGTTGCTCTAGGAACTTGATTTTTCGTGTGCTCGAGAACATCTCCCAGCATGGCTAAGTAAAGGTGTAGTAAAAACCATCAACAGTTCGATATTAGACCATCTGGTCCAAACCGGCTAAAAAGCCAGCATTGAAGAATCCTTCTCTATCATCTACTAAGTGCCAAATAAATTGCCAAAAACATCGAAGTACAGCATGCTCCAAACAGCAGAGGCTATCACAATTCGCGTGAAACGAACAGTACTTAGTGTGCAAAAGAAGCAAGTTCAGCCCCGACTACTGCCCTGGCCGGCATTCAGTAGAGACTATAAATTCAGGAATATGAATTATTATCTTTCCTGAATTATCTGTCTGACATTCAGTGTGTATTGTTATGTTGATGCTATTGAACTGTAATCTATTGATATTATTGATTCGATGTTATTTCAGCATTAATGTTGTTCATAAGACTAATTCATTCATTCACTATAATGTATATATAACTGTAGAGCCTGATGATGAAGTTATCGAAAAGAGCATTCTTTGTTGAGTTATCATTCTTTTGAAAATCGTATTTTCTTGTAAGGGTGAGCACCAATGACTTTGGCGTTTGAATTTTACCCACACGGTTGTAGATGTCAAACGAAGGATTGGATTGGAATAGCAAGACAGGTCTTCATTACTTTGAAACCAGTGTGAGAACCTAATGTACTAAACATTTGGAAAAAGTTCAGGATCTTCAACTCAAATGTCGAATCAGTCGTTCTATATAATTCACACAATTGGAGCGCGTCAGCATAAGCATTTCCAACAGCCTGTTGGGAATTTTCATCAACAGCTTTCTTTACTACACACTGAAGATTAGATGGTCAGCCGAAAAGGAGAAGTAACAAGGAAATTCGAGAGTGAACTAACCAAGAACCTAACGCACAACAAATATTCAGAAAGAAGGATAGAGAACACTGTCGAGTGACATCATACAGTACGCCCTGCAGTGGAACCCGAATGAGGAAACGGTGACTTAAGCGTTCGAACATAACATGGAGAATATCATATGAGAAGGAAATGAAAGCTGATGGGCAATTGTACAGTCAGCTGAAAACGACTTAAGGGAACACAGTAAACATAAAGATGTGCAACTCAAGCCCTGTATTCTATTTGGGACCGAAGGGAATAAAAATAATAATAACTATATTGCCATAACGTCTCAAATGTGGCTCACTGATTGACTACACGGAAAAACTCAGTGTCATTAATAAACTTAGTGCACCTAGCAGGCTGGTCCACCGAGGGAGAGGGCTCTCGAGTGGTTGCACCACAGGATGATACTGAATGCTGGTCTTGCCTCACAAGAGGCAGCGATAGGTGTGTTCGGTTCTCTAGAAAACCGACGCCCAGTCAATGGGTGTACCATTGTGTGAATTGCATCGGTGTTACAGGGCCACACATGTGGTCCGAGGTTCGATCCCCGGCCACCAACGCACTCCTTTACCTCGTTAAGCCAGTAATAAGACTGGTAAAGAGGAAAGGTTGGGCATGAGGCTAGCAACCCATCCTGTAAAAATAAACATCACTGTTACTGAAACTTCAAGCCTCTAGCCTGAAGCCATATGTTCCACTAGAAACGTAAAGGAATTAAAAATATAAAAAGACCTAGCAGGCAAACATTCATTAGTCAAGCAGATTCTTAGTTAACTTGTCTAATTTGTGGTATGATTCAATAATACTTAAACTGTAATCCATCTTATGTACGACCTTCACACGTCAGTTTTAATCAAAATTAGTATAAAATCCTTTTGAAGTGACACTTAGATACATTAGAAGTGAACTTTCTGAATAGTTGAAAGAAAAGTCATAGCTTTCATCAGTCATAGCTCAGTTAATTGTAGAAACAACCACTCTAATAACAAAAACCACAGGCAGCATTTTAATTCAAATAGTCGAGACAGCATTAATCTGATCAATGCGGTAGGCATATATTTATAATACTAACTGGTAATATTTACTTCTTCGATTTCCTCTCTATCGAGTCGGTTTACAATCATTTGATGTCATTTGATTCATTGAACATGTTAACCAACCTAGAGGATAGAGGACAGTAATCGATATTACTTATTACCTAACTAGGATTATAGATTAAACTAATCCCTTATAGTGAGACAGACACTTTAGCTGTATTCAATTCGATTCAAGAAAACCAAATATTTTCAAGCGTTACTCCATAGGGATTTGATTTGTTTCAGTTTGATTTCAGTAAAAGAACCATTGAAAACAAGCAGGGAGTACTAGACAGCTGTTTCGTCCTAGTTTGGAACTCATCTGCAGTACGAACCCATTGGATCGCGCTAAAATCATGAATTAGTGGAAGTTAGAATTCATGGCTGACCACTGAGTCGAGTTCCATTGGCTGAATGGCCTACGAGTTTGACTTGTAACTAGAGGACCTCGGGTTCGAACCCTGGCGGCGGGTGCGTGCTACTGATGAGTTACAAATTAGGACGAAACAGTTGTTGCCTAGTACTCCCTGGTTTTCATTTCATGGTCAAACTTGAAACATAGCAAAAATATTCATTCAGACATCTATAAAACACAAAACAATAGAGCAAAGAATATTCTTTTCGATAAATTCTTCTTCTAGCTCTACAATTATATATATATATATATATATATATATTGTTTATATACATAGAATATTCTAGATTAGTAGTCAATAGCAATATTGTTTTTTTAAATAATATCGATTTGTAAAGTATGATCAATGGAATTACAATTCATTAAAGATGCTTAAATTATAATTATAAAGATATAATAGCGAATAGAATATCAACTAAAATTAGGGAAATTCCACAAAAATTCCGGATTATTCAAACCTATATGACCAAGGTAAGGATAATGTCTGAACTAGCTTCTTTTGGATGCATAAATAAGGCTTCTTAATATAGATCCCCACAGCCTCAGTAATATTTAGTAGTCGAACTCTTAAGGTGGAATCGAGATTCGTAGGTATACGGTAAATAACCCTGAAAGCATGGTTAACGTCAATCTTGTGTTCTGTCTCCACAAGATGAGACAGAATAGAGCTGCGAATAGATTTTGTTTGTCCTTTGCTTGAAACAGTTTATTCCCTTCGTAGGATACTATTTCTTTAAAGAGGATAATTTAAGTTAAAACTAAACCCTAAATTTTATCAGGGCTTCAACCAGTAGACTTCTACAGATCAAGTAGATTCACAAAGAAGGTAACACAGATGTAAATGTATTATCTTCTTATAGAAGACTATTTTGTCAAAAGGAAACTATTTCAAATAGAGAAAGATGAACAACGATTTTTCTGTATTAGAATTGTCTATCAGTTTTCCAGTGAAGTGGAAATTTCCACAAGAAGTTAAACATTGAATCATCAAAAAGTAGTTCTGTAAAGCAATTTTTGATTTATATAACCTTACATTATTGGCGGACTTCATTGAAATCCTTTAAAGGCTACAATATATAATTCTGGAAGCGACAAAATGAACACTAACCGTATTATACAAAACTTTGGGGCTTTCAGTGTATAACTCAAGTGAATTACTTCGGAGAGTTTACATCTCGAAGTTTTAACTTTTTTTAAAAAAACACCTAGAGTTTGGTTTGTAAGGGTTAGCTATGTTTTTACGAGTTGATCACGGATTGATATCAGTTAGAGAACCATTGAAAACCAGGGAGTACTGGACAGCTGCTGTTTCATCCTAGTTTGGGAATCATCGGCAGCACGCACCCACTGGGATTCGAACCCACGACCTTCCGGTTACAAGGCCAGCGAGCTCGTATACCATTCAGCCACTGGGACCCGATTCAATGGTCAGTCCATGAATTCTAACTTCTACCAGTTCGTGATTTAGCGCGACCCCAACTATTGTCGTTGGTGGGACATCCATCCACACACGTGACATCTAATTGGACCTCACTGGTCACGACTTCTCACTAGAACCCCAGGAAACTCCATCCTGTAGCAAGTCACTAGCGAGCATCAGATTAATTTTCTATAGTTTGGTTTGTAAGGGTTAGTTATGTTTTTACGAGTTGATTCATGAGCCAT